ATTCTATAATTCATAGAATGGTATTGAGAAGAACAGTGATTTCAGCCTGGGATTGGAATTGTTGTTTTTTTTTAAATAATGCTGATGTTTCTAATCTATTGAGCACTTTTGGTTACAGTCCATGCAGTATTTATGAAGGAGCATTTTATTACACATTTCCTTCACAGAAAGTTACTCAGGATAACATATACTAATAATACATTTTTAGGTTTCTAAGGCAATGTTCAATGGCAAAATATGAGCTGTTTCTCTGTGCATAAATTCTAAACTTATTCCACTTCTTTCTTTATCACTCCCTTCCAAAAATGAACACTGAAATTAGAAGCTTGCCCTGTTTCTTATTCATTTTCACTCTTTCACAAAAAAGATGACTGGCTGTTTAGATATTTACTCTTTTGAATTTTTTCTTTTTAATTTCATGAATCCCGATCCATCCTTTCTTCATGGTCAAGCTATTCTATAGCAATCCATAATCTCAATACTTTCTCTCACAAATATATATATATATATATTTAAATGGGAGAACAACTTTCTCATTCAGTATGGAGTGAGAAACATTCAGAAAATTCAAGAAACAAATGGGCTAAGATATTTATACGTCCACTTTGATCCTCTAATTACTTATGGCAATCTGTTGTGATCTGGGAAACCTGAGAAGTAGTAAAGTAGAATCTCAAATGGTTCCTGAGATGGATATTCATTAAAGTATATCCACTGCTCACTGAAAGTATTCATGATCTGGAAAGCCATCTCTCCTGTGTGGAGATCACCTGGCTGGTGCCATTAATGTGGAACAGGGAAAGGACCATTTTGGAATACTGGGAGCATTGGAAAGAACAACACATCCGAAGCAAGATGAGGATGATGATGATGATGATGGAATAATCCTTTTAAACTTGTCTTCTACATACCCACCTTGACCCATTACTTGACTCATCATGTTGATTTTTTCCACCACACCTCTTAAAGCAATTTAAAACAAGAACCCTAAAATTTCACTTCAACAAAGATACTACTATATGCCTGAATACTAACTGAGTCAGTACAGTCTGTGTGAATAAATAGAAAAGTATGTAATAGAAGAAATGAATATGATTAACTCTATTTAACACACACACACACATCCCACACACACATAACTTGCACAAATTTCCCTGGAATGCGTATTCGCCTATAACCAATTTCAAGTTTGCTTTCTAATTTTCACAGCATTCTGGATTATTTCCCCTGGATCAACCTGCAAATAGACAGAGAGCAGATCTGCATTTTCTGCTTGACCCATCACTTTCTGAGTGCAGGAAAGATGATGTCCTGCTTCCCTCCCCCCCCCAGCTCATGCAAATGTTCCCTAAATCATTTTTTCCAGCTTTCGTTCAAAACTTTTGTTATCTGCCCCAAGCTGTCTCAAACCATTCAGAGCAGATGATCTCTAGCACTGGTTCCATTGCAGTAGCAGACCTACCTCTGATTGGCTGCAGAGCCCAGCATGCCCCCCTCCTATCCAGGGTCTGCCCATACTCTTACACACACACACACACACTTGCATGATCAAGCAATGGCCTGTTAAGTCAATGAAATATCCGCAACCCTAAAAACTCCTGCTCCATTCAACTCTTACATCGCACAGTGGGAAAACTTCAGTTCCTCCCCAAACTGGTGAATTCCCTCCTCTTTATTTATATATTTTCTTTAAAAATCTTGAAGTTGCAAACAGGATCATTGCTACTTTGTTTCTATGAAGCTGAACTATTAGTTCTTCTTTCCTAGACCATTTCCACGGATCTACAGAAGTATGAAGGAAAAATGTAGGAAGCCACCCAACAGGTTGGCCATCGCTGCACAGATGGAAAGGGCAAGAAACTGGGGAATAACCAGTCTGGTCCTGCAATAGGTCTAGCCCAGAATTAGCACCTTCCCAGCCTCTCTGCCCACCCGCTGCAATCCAGACTGGCATTTCTGAAGTTGGCTTAAGAAAGAACCGGGATCTGCAAGGGAGACAAACAGCAGTGTGGAATCACCCAGAATCTTTGAGAAAATAATTCTATGTGGGTGAATTCATTGAGAATGAAGAATCCTCATTTCTGCCTGTGATGCAAATGAAAGATTAACCTTTCTTTATACTGCTGAACTGATATTTACTTTACTGTATGATTATTCTGTATGATTTTCAGAACATCTGGGAGGTTACTCATAAAAAGATGTAGAGCAATAATGAATGGATGAAGTACTGAACAATTTCTATGTGACATATAAATAAATATGTTAGGTGGACATAAACTTGTGCCTTTTTTCATCGCTTCAAATATTGTTTTATAATTTGAGGTAAACATTTGAAACTTCAGATAAGAAGTTCTTGAGCGCCATGTTTTATGCAGATTTACTTTCTAAATT